TATTCCATGACACTTTCAAGTTTAACCTAATAAAAGGAATAAAATAAGTAATTGAGAAAAAATATATTGATCAACAAATAAATTTACTTTAAAAATCAGAGAAAAATAATAGATACGATCGAAAAGAGGGGAAAGGATGAAGCCGATGTGTCACCTGATTCAAACTCCCTGCGGCAATATCAGAAAATTGATGACTTGTAGGAAGCATCTGACCCGATTAATTTCAAATCAAGTCATTCAAGAAAAAATAATAATAATTTCATTCATCATAAAGAATAGAGAGATGCAAGCATCGAGGTGGAAGTTTAAGGCCCAAGGCAAGCATTTTAAAGCATTGCTTGCTGTTAAAAAATGCGCATTTTCAAAAACCATATAAATAAAATTATTACACTATTTTCAAATTTTTAGACACTTACTTGCTATTATTAATGCTTATTTTATTATTTTGTTTAATGCTGCAGCGGTCTTTTCACAGATGTTTGCTGACTGTACTGCGCCGATGAATTTTCCCCTTCCCAGTCATTCACCTTATGTTAATGATGGCAAAAAAAATACGATGTCCCCCAGCTGTGCTGGAACATCCGCTTTAGGCATTAAATTTAAAGATGGTGTGATTATTGCTGCGGATACCGTCGTTTCTTACGGCTCACTTGCTCGTTTCATGGGGTTTGATCGTGTAATCAAAGTAAACGATTCCACAGCGATGGCATTCTCGGGGGACATTGCGGATTTTCAGCTTGTTAAAAGAAGGATTGAAGAGTATACTCATGAGGAGGCTCTCCTTGCTGATGGGTTTACTTTAAGGTAGCTCATTATCGATCTACTTACATTTTTAAGTCCGTCTGCTCTTCATTCGTGGATAACACGAGTATTGTATAATCGAAGAAGCAGTCTTAATCCCCTTTGGAATTCATATGTTGTTGGTGGGATCGAACCCACTGGCGTGCCTTTCCTGGGATTTTGTAACATGATTGGCGTCGGTAGGTCTTCTTTTTCCATTTGAATTAAATCAGCCTTTCCTGAAGATGTCGTTGCCACAGGATTTGGAGCATTTCTAGCTATCCCGCCACTCCGTAGAGCAATTGAAGAAAAAGCGAATTCAGACTATGCTAAGCTTGAAGAATCTGATGCTCTGGAAGCGATCACTGACGGGATGCGACTTCTTTTTTATCGCGACACTAAGTAATTTATCTATCCTGTAGAATTTATTTGTTAGCTAACTCTAATTTGTCTTAAATTTGTAGTTGTGTGACCAATACATTGTCTAATTTCTGTGATGAACTTGTCTTGCTGTCACTTGAATATCTTTTTTATTATCATTATGCAAGCTTCATTGTCAAGTGTCTGATGCTTATTTACGTTAGGTTATTCGACTTATTTGAATTAATTTTGATCATACTTAGATATATTTCGAAGAGCTTTTGAAATTAAATATAAGATCTTAACAGAATTACTTCACACGCGGCGCTTAGACCTATTTATAGGGAGAGGAGTTGGTAAGAGCCGCACTATTTTATCAACATAGTCCATATTCTTATTTTTGTATATATGTACTTTTACTCGCTCTGTTCACCCAACCTCTGCGTTGTCAAAGCATGTTAACTTGTACACTATTTTTTATTCACCGCAAGTTGACAAGTCATATAAATTATGACCCCAACATCTCCATATACTCACATAATTTGATTGATATCATATCGATTCATTAATGACTATTTTTTAATCTTGATTTTTTTTTGTTTCCGTTTATTTGTCAGGGCATTCAACGAATATACTTTGGCGATTGTTAGGTCATCTGGAGTTGAGATACGTGGGCCTCTAAAGCTTGTAACAGATTGGGATATTGCCGAATATGTTGCCGGTTATGAATAGTTGAAATTTTTTTTCCCCAATATATCTCATCATAACCTTTTCAACCGTTATCTATGATATTTCTGTATGGCTACTTATCGAATTGCGATTTAAGTGTTCTTTTTTTCTCTTGCCAGTATGCGCTTGGTTGACATGAATTTAATTTTACATTTTGGAAACTACGAAGCCCATCCAAATTTGTCTAACAAAAATATATTTTATTTTTTTTAAGCAGGACAACCTTGAAAGTATTAACTGAATATGGCTACACGCATTCTCCATAATATGTATACGTTACTCAGATTGAAAATAGGGGATTGCAGCAATATTTTAACCTCAATTTCTTAAATTCTGCCTAAAGGGCTTCGCATACTTGTCTTACTCATATAAGAGCTATTTTACGTCACCTTTTTATCTGCGGAATTATTTCCGAGATGGTAAATGTCTATACCTAAATATTTGTTCAGCTAGGTTCTAATTAGAAAATAACTGCGAAGAAAAGTTGAGTTTCGAGGAATCTCTTCTTTTA